GCTGAAATCAAGAGTTGGACATTCAACTGACTGAGCTACCCAGGCACCCTTTCAAGAACTACTTAAGGATACGTATCAGCTCAGAACATGTTAAGGGGAGGCCAATGGTGGAGGGTCTGACCATAAAAGGGGAGAAGGCGAAAGACTGAGAGGAAAAGGATACAGAAGGATCAGCCAGGAAATATGAGTCAAGGGAAAGTAGAATGAAGTTCCAGAATGACAGAAAAGAGGCATGGCTACTCACTTTGGCACCAGGGTAAGAGAGGGCACAGGCCAGGTACCAGGTGAGAGACAAGCCCGCTGCCACAGGCCCTCCCCTACCAGTCTTGCACGGACCAGGACTGGTCCTCCATGGGCCTCTCTGGTCATGGACTGATTCAAGCTGCCCTGTTCAGGTCTCCTGGCCATGTTCACCTTGGGTGACCACATTGATGGTAGTGCAGGCAGTCATTCTTATGGGGGGTCAAGTGGCTTGTGAGAGGCCAGCCCCAGGTCTGTCATGATTCACCCATGACAGACTGAGGTGGATAAGGATCACTTATGCATCTGGAGAACTGAACCTCACAAAATGAACCAGGAAAGATCTCAGGGGAAAGATGCATTGTCCCCACAATCAGTGATCGTGTCTGTGTCCATGTGCCATCACAGGGGCTCACAAGGGGCAGCTGGCAGAAAACCTGCTGGAATGAGGAAGTGTGACAGAGGAGAAAGAAAAGCAACACACCTCGACTGGGTCACTTGGCCAGATAATAACCAAGCTGGATGTGATCTGCTATGCAAGTTGTGATACTTTTGACCCTTGACCTAAAAGATACTGGAGTTGTTTATACAGCAGTCTGGGAGAAGATGTACCAAGACATGGGCCAGCACCAGGACCAGCCGCATATCCCATGGGGAACATAGTGGCCTAACCTGGTGAGGACAGCACCATGTCATGGTAGTAGCCCTACTGTGTCTCATGAAGGAGCCCCACTTTTTCTGAAAGCAGTATGTGACCTTCTTAAAAGTCACTGGGCCTTGCTATAGCAGGCCAGGGAGCAGATGGATGCAACCTAAGCACTGGGCATGGGACCTGGGACCCCAGTCTCTGTCCTGCGGCCACCTGCCTTTATGTCTCCCAACCTTGTCCCCTAACATGCCTGCTTACCCTCTCATATCTGAAAGGGTGGGCCCTCCTCCTGGATGTGCCCTCTCCCCGGATCCATTGGTCTTTGGACAGTGCTTCTCCTTTTCTGCACCCATCTCCTCCACCCGGCCACTGGTCCTTATCCTGGACACCCCACACTCACCTCAGGGCCACTTATCTGCAACCACAACCTAAGACTCTCCTTCCAAAATGCCATTCTCAGGCCCTTCCTTGGTCCAGGCCACCAGTGAACTGCAACCTGGAGATCGGAGGACAAACCAAAACTCCCTATGTGTCCATGGCACGTAGTCACTTCCACTTAGAAGTCCACATCTACAAAATCCAACTGCTAATCTTCCCCAAAATATCCTCCTCTTGCCAAACTCCCATCTCCATGTACAATATCTCATTCTTCCTAAACACTCGGGATGGTCTTTTATCCACCACTTACGTTCACTCGTCACATGTAGCAGGAAATCCCATTAACTTCATCTTGAAAATCTAACCGAAATCTGATCACTTCTCTCACCTCTCCTACTTCTACCCTGGACAGGCCATCATCATAACTGTCTGGAAGAATATTGCAGCAGCATCCTCACAACCCCTGGCCACAACCCCTCTCCCACCGGTGTGTTCACTCAGTATGTTTACTTGGTATTCATTGGGATACTTTCAAAATCCTAAATCCAGACAATGGATATCCCGCTTCTATTCAAAAATTTCTACGACTCCCAGCACATTCAGCCAATGAATAGAGGCAGGACTCCTCTCTTCATGCAGTGGAAGAATGAGAATTTTCCTGAATGTTCTCAGGTCAGTCTCACCTCCGAATCTTTGCACACGCAGATCCCTCTGTCTGTACCCTCTACATCTTAACATACCGAATTCTGGGATGAAGACTCCCCACCTGCGAACGCTCCATCATCCAGAACATCGAGGCCTGTAGCTCAGTCGGGGACTCAGGACACTGGGACTCTGAGTCAGGTCGGGTGGAAGAATCCTTCAGCCGTGACTAGTTGATCGGCTCACTCATCACGCCCGTAGTCCAGCCACAAGCTGGTCATGAGCTCGGAACGCGTGGCTTTGAGCCTCCGTCCCCCGCTCTGTAAAGCAGACACAACGCCAAGGGCGACGACTCCCGGGCGGGCTCCAAAGGAGGTCCTTGCAGACATCCCCGCGAGGTAGCCCCCCCTACTGCCAAGGATATCCGGGCTTGGGTAGTCAGGACATTCTCTGGGGTCAAGGGGTGCACAGGGCACGGAGACGGAATCTCCCCGACTCTCGAATCTTCCCTGCATCCGTTCCCGCAGGCCCGGTGAGCCTCCCGGCACCATCCACGGCCAGGCAACTTGGTTCCTCCTCCAACACCGATAAAACGGCAAGCTGCCAAAGAAACAACCGAAAACCAGAAGCCACCACGCGCTGGCACGGCGGTTCCGGAAACGCCTCTCCCCTAGGCTATCATTGGCCAGAGCCCAGACCGCGGCCTCGGAAACGCCCCTCGCCCAGGTTCTCCCTGGGAAGCTCTGAGAAGACGCTTGATGAGAGGCTTTCTGGGGAATGTAGTTCGCGACGCGTGAGCAGTGACGCGACACGTGTGTGTGTGTGTGTGTGTGTGTG